AAAAATAAATAGGTAAGTAAATGTTTGTGGTGTGTTATGAAAAGAGAAGCTGCATTTCTACTGCTGCATTTCTTATCACCTTCCTGTTTGTTTCCTCTTTTTTTTGCCTGTTTACCCACTTACTGAAGTTTGTTACCTGTATTTAATGTTCAAAAGCTATAACTTCCCAGGATAAGTCAGATAGGCTGTTATGTTTGAAATGCAATATCTTCTGCTGGATATTGGTAGTATCCAAACGGGCTGAGTTTAGCTGTTAAGGAGTTCCTCCTAATTCTATTCAGTAAGCCTTAGTGCTTAAGAGAACCAGGAAAAGTTAAATGCCCTTCCTGAGCAGGCAGTTCTCAATTCAAATGAATTTGAGCTACGCTACATTAGAATTGTTATTGCCAGTTGTATAGAATAAGAAAACCACAATGCCCTGATCCCTTCCCTATTCAAGTAGGGTTAAAACAGAAAATGAGTAGTAGATTTATACAAGTATAAAACTCAATCCAGACAGTTTTTTACCATGTTTTTCCTACTGTCCAAGGTCCAAAGCAACAAAGCAAATGTCCAAGGGCAAATCTCTCTTTAAACATCTTCCTTCTCTCCTCTGTTTTGCTTCTGGAGGTCGCATTTATTCACAGATAAAGCACATGATCTAGGACAGTCCAGCTCCGGGGTGGTGGTGGGTGGTGGAAATGCTTCTTTGCTTCCCTGATGGACAGCACCGCGCTCCCTACTTCCAGCCATCATTGTTTCTGGTTAATTTAAAAAGAAATGCCCTTAAGTTAAGCTTCAAAATAACTTCTGTGAAAGCCTGTCACTTAAGTAGCATGAAATCTCTTCTTTGATAGTTAGCCCTCTCTGAGACTTGCTTTTCCAGTATTGGAAGTGATGAATTCTAGGAAGATCTGCAGTGCTGATAATTTGTATTACTTCATACCTGACAGTACAGAGATCCTAGTGTTTTTCCTGTCTGGATTTTAAATATTTTTATGTTAAAATGACTAGACTTGTCATTCCTTCATTTGAAAAACAATTAGAAGATACCTGCCCTCCTGAGGAGCGTTAGATCCCCTGGCTGGTGTGTATCCCCTTGCAGGGTGTGTGGGAGCCCCGCGGATGCGCTGTGGAGCCTGCAGTGCAGCCTGGGCCACGTTGCAGGAGATGGTGACGCGTTTCTGCGGACAGCCCTGTAGGAGCCCCCCTGGAATGTATCAGAAAGTGTATTAGCCTGTATTTGAGTAAAATCAGCTTATTTGTGAGTGGGTGTTGGGTTGTGGTATTCTACTGCTTCTCCTCTTCTTTCCTTCTTTCTGCCACTTTATTACAACAGAACACACGATACTCGTTAGTAGCATGGGAAATGAGATTGCCAAAATTGCACTGAATACATTCCAGATGCTTGTATGGAACGACTGGATTTGCATTAGGATTTCTTTAAAAATATACCTAGAGGAAAACAAATTCAGAGAGCAGTTCGGTATTAAACTAAAGTCTCTAAAAATTTGTCCTCATAAAACACGGATATGTACGAGCATATATTACCTTGTTACATACCTAACCTGCTTTCCATCTTAGGAAGGCTTTGCGGGCATTAGGCAATTAATACCTAATTGTATTTAGATCCAGGATTTGCAAGCAAGATTGAATGAATGCATAGTGCAAAGCAGTGATAGCTGAGCAAAAGCCAAACAGTGACTCTGTGTATTTTCAGCAAAGAGAACTGCATTCCGGAGGCTTGGAGCTCCACCATGATACATAAGCGGGGGCTGGAGGTCTGCGAGCTGTGCTTTTTGACTCCTGGAGTGCTAGTGTGCTAGGGCCGAGGAGCAAGAGCGCGTATGTGCTGGTGTGTAGGGCTGAGGAAGGTGGATGAGGGCGTTGGGCGCCAGGCAGCGCTTGTGCCGGGTTTGGGCAGGGGCCAGTGCCACGAGCGTGGCCAGAGCCGCTGTGGGACTGCGGTGGGGCTGGAGCGTCGCGTCCCGGCGCCCGGGCAGGCCGAGCGGCAGCGTGGTGTGTGCCGGGGTTCTCTGCTGGCTTCGAGATGCAAGCAGGCTGTGCTGAGGCGGTAAGCAATCAGATTAGGGCTTTCTGTTTGTTTCTTCAGTGTGGTAAATATACGCTTCCTTGGATATAGACTACCTACGGGAAGTAACTGGCTTTCTAGACAGCAGGAGGAGACAGGAGCGAGGGAAGGCAAACAGCAGGACAAGCCTGTAGGGAGCCCAAAGTCATGGATCTGGTGGAGGGAGAGCTCTCCTGCCCTTGCTGGAGCATGAGGCCTGTGGAGAGCGCCTGGTGGAGCAGGAGCTGCGGGCACAGCAGGGAGCCCTGGAGAAAGTGCCACAAATGGGTCTTTAGTGAGCAGCTCGCATGGAGGCTGTGTAAGAAGCTGTATAGAATAAAACAGAGCCTAAGCTGAAAGGAGGTGGCAGAAAGACCTGGCTTGTGTCATGTACCGAGTGTCAGTGCATCTCGTGATACTGACGTAAGCTTTTCTTTCATTTGGCACTAGCTCTGGAGAAGTGTCCTTTGCAGCTCATGCACTGAAGCTTCATTTAGTGGTTGGGCAGATGTGCAGATTTCAGAACACAGATTTCTATCTGGAGTTGCAAGCAGATGCAATAGAAATAGCATCCCTAAAACTCCTGAGAGCTCCTGGGAGTTGTAACAGACCTGGATGACCTGTGCCAGTGTCTGTGTGGAGACTCGAGAGGAAAGATCATGTCTCTTAATTTATCCCGTCATATATTCTTACGTGTAGTTTCAAATAGTGGAAATAACCTCCTGTTCCAATCTTTGGTTCAAGTGTTAAGGGCTGTTACCTCAGTCAGCAGTGAGGCCAAACTCTCTGCTGCAATAAAAGCAACTCTTCCAAAAGAAATAACCCGCCTTGTGCCTCTCTTCACCCGGAGTGTTGGTTGCTCGTGGTGGGTGCATTGACACCATGCTCTTTGGGAGGAGAAGAGGCACACGGGGCGGGCAGGGGTGCAATGCCTCCAATAAAAGCAGTGTATGAGGCACATGTGTGGGGATGAGGGCGTGCGAGGAGGCCGGCCCATGTGGGGCTGACACGGGCCCGGGCAGCAGGCACAGCTGGCACACGCCGGCCCTGCTCTGGCCACGGCGCAGCCGGGTGCTCGTGAGCAGGGAGGCCCCGCCGGTGCCGCCGGGCACGCAGGAGGCCCCGGGAGCGCTGCCCCCTGCACGTGGGCCGTGCGGCTCCGCAGGAGGCCTGGCCCGGGGCCAGCGCGGCGAGCGGCCGTGCCCCGCTCTGCCCTTCCTCGCCAGATAAGCCGGGCTGCTGGAGAGCGGCTGCCCTGCTCCACTCGTGAGCGTCTGCGTTCTGCAGCGGGGCCGGCTGCGTCGCAGAGGGGCCCTCCTGCACGCCAGGCAGGGAGGCTCTGGCAGGCAGTGTCTCAGGGCAGTGTTACAAAGTGTTTAGTCAAACTGAGTAGCACTGCATAGGCAGCCCTGCTTCATGTCTATGTGAAGAAATAAAGGTTAACCCCTCCATCTCCCAAGTTGATGGTCAGTGCTGCTGCCCAGCTCCCTGAGGAGCAGTGTGGGGTGTTTGTGTATCCTCCATGCCGCGAGCAGCGGTGTGTCCAGCATAGACCTTCAGCAAGGAGGGCTGTTGAGCGTGAGTGGCAGGGTCCGTGCTGCAGCCAGCTCTTCCGCGGGACCAGGCCAGCGCGACCTGAGGCTCTGGGAAAACCTCAGTGGCTCTGCGTGTTCCAGATGGGCTGCTTCAGGATGGGCTTTCTGACTTCTGAAGGGCCGGCTGCCAACCCTGTGTTGAGCGAGCTGTCGCTCTAACCTGTGAGGTGTAGGTCAGTGCACGTACAGCAACATACAGCATTCATGTACCCAAGTAAAACAATCTCTTGTGCTGCTGTGGTTGGATGCAGGTCTTCCAAAATCCAACAGAGTTCTGCTATTTAATAATTTCAAGGTGTTCTTTAATTTTAAACTTTGAGGAGCATTTTCCTTTTAATTGCAAATGAATACTAACCCAAAAATCATATTTCTAGGTTGTTTTTTATCTTTTATATGTTGCTGCTTCCAAACTGACCAGGAGGTCATCTGAATCTAATACTTATCTGACTGACTATGGTGCAAATAGGGGTTAAGTCAACTGACTTTCTACTGTGACCTTCTGAATCAAAAACATATTGTATCTATTGCTGTCAGGGGTGGATTTGAAACATTTTGGAAAAGCAGGGCTGCTTTTCATAAATATTTCTTTCTTTAGTTTCCTGAGATATAATTTAAATGTAAACTGCTTTATATGCTTCAGCTTTTGTGCTATCTTTCTGTATCACACCCCGCTGCCTCGTGCACTGCATGGGAGAATGGCACTACCTCATGCTGGGGTGGTTATTTGAGAGGGTGTACACTCCATTTTGGACTAGATACTGTTATCAGAGTAGATAATTGCTGTCAGACACAAAATAGATTTGGTAAACAAACATTTCGTTTTATCATGTGATAAACGTCTGTTTTGTGCAATGTATTTGAACGATGCTGTCTGTAAATCAGCACTGCTTCAAAAGCAACAAATCCAACTCTCCCAAATCCTTCCTGATGTAATTACTTTATATTAGAGATTAACGTTTCATTGTTTATGTGTACATGATGGTGTTTTTTCAGTGTTTGGAGATAACCACATTTGGCAGAAGTGAGTAAGCCATGTCTAAGAATAACCAATTTCTCCCTCTGCCATCACTGTTCTGTTCATTTCTATATGGGTATCTTTTCTAATCCTTTATTTTCTCCCGGGTAAAGGAAAGGCTGCATCATTTTGGAGTGCATACTTTTAATTACAACCGTCCAAGAGAAATGGATTAATGATCTAGTGCATAGAGGAAAGCTTAAAAGGGAATAGAAATAAACTTCTTCATAATGTGGCTAATGAAATACCCATTTTTTCCATTGTTTTTGTGACCAAAAGGTGATTACTGAATATTTTGTCTTTTTCACTAAATGATAGATATCTGTGACTTCTTTTGCAGGTCCTGTGCCTCGGAGTGAATGTGTCCTGTCTCCTGTTAACAACTCGCACCCAGTCCATGCCTTATTGGAGAGTTTCACAGTCTTATCCGGCTGTGCAAGCCGGGGCACGACAAGCCTGCCGCAAGAGGTGCACGTCCTCAATCTCAGAAGTCCAGAGGAAGGTCTTGGCCAGCATGAAAGAGAGGTAAAGGGGAAAGTGCTTTTCTTCCAGATTCCTGAGTACAGTGTCCATGCAGATGGGATTGTGCTGCATTAGTTTGCTCAATAAAGTTGTCTCCCAAGTGTGAATATAAAGACCACCAAGAATTGTGTGCAACTTGCATTGGGTGCTGTTCACCTGTGCTTTGCATGTCATAGGAGTAAGGCATTTTCATAGCCAGTCATTCTCCCTGTCACCTTTCAGTCACAAAGTATGCTGAAAGGTGGTGGGGTGGGCAAAGGAAATAAGAAACAGATTTAGGCCTACAAGAGGCCTCTACAGAATAGGCTGTCTTCAAAGACAGTTCATTTACCTAAATGTGTTGTAAATTAACATGAATACCTTTGGATCCCTGCCATGACCACTATAAACAAATATTTAAGTTCAGATCCTTCTACCTCTGTAATACATCCTGAGTTCTACCCTGATAGGGAATGCAGCACAGAAAGCAAATGCTGCTGACTATGGTAGTTTTTAAGCACAGTCCAATTATTTGTGTGTTGCACTCAGAGGGATTGGCAGGAACTTTAGTTGCTCTGAAAGTGACAGCACAAGAAGAAAATTTTTGATGTGAACTTGTACAGTATTATTGTTTGCTCTGAAAACACAGCAAAATAGGGACCTGAAGTGAAAAGAAAACATCGCATGTCTTGGCAGCTGAGCTACTCAGTCCTTGTTCTTACAGTATTACAAAAAAATTCCTCAATGCTGTTCCCTGAGAGAGCAATATGTGTGCACACAGCAGAATTTGTGATGAAAGAACAAAGATGATCCTGCAGGATGAAGCTTAGAAACAGAGGGTCTAAATCTGTGTTGAAAGATCTTTCAAGTGGAGTCTTTTGTTCTGCTTTAAATGCAGGCAGCTACTGGTGGCCATAGTGGAAGCCTTTCCATTGATTTCAATAGCAGCCTTGTCAGTTTGTGGGGAGTTCAGCTGAATGTGGATTGGACCCTTCTGTGGAGCTCAGCTGTTGTATACATTTTCAGTATTTACCCTGCCTCAAAGTCCAGTGTGTGATGAAAAGGTTATTTATTATCTCTTTAGTAGGCATGTCATTGGCTGCTCTTAATCAAAAATGTCAAATCTGCTTCAGTTTAACTGTCACTGAATGAATTTTAAATAATTATGCTCACTACTTTATGGTGCTTCAAATGATTTTTTTTTATTTTCAAGGCATTGTATTATCAGCTTGAGGATTACACTGTAAAAGCCTAAAATATTTAGGTACAGCCAGTTCTCTGGGCATGAAAATCACACTATTATTGGAATCTGTTCTTCCATTTTTCAGTAGTTTAGCTTTCTATGAAAACAAAACAGGCTTATGTGGTTGTGGGGTATGTGGGAGAGCGTGCCGCCCTCTCTCCTCCCCAGGAACTTTTAAAGCCATTGTCAACTCCAAGGCAATTTTGGTAGGGAGGGTAGGTCTGCAAGGGTAAGTTTTGTGAAGATGGCAGAAGAACAAAGGAGAGAGAGCTCCCAAGTACCCGCGCTGGGGACGCGCCACAAGGTGAGCGCGTGAGCACTTAGTCACAAGGGATCTCCAGGGAGGGGGGAAACAAGCTGGATGTACCTCCAGAGAGGCCAGAAGGAATCTAATGCCCACTCAGATTCTCATAAAGCCAAATTTCAGTCTGTGCTCTGAATGCTGCTTGTTCAGTGTCGTTTCTGCACAAGCTGTGCTGGAGCTGCGTGTGCGCCAGGCTGCAGGCTGTGCCACCACTGCCTCATCCACACAGTGACACAGGAGGCAATAGTTGGCTTTAAATAAAAGCAGTTGCTGTCCTGTTGAAGCCTCATCTAACTTGCTTATGTTAAGAAGGAGATTTTCTCTGATCTGTCTCTGTGCTCCTATTGTATACGAAAATGCAGAGGACTGGTTACATCTTGCTAGCAGTAATCCCTGGCCGCGTTCTCCATCTCCCAGGCATTTCCCAGTCACAGCCCTTGGAGATGCCCTGCCCTGAAAACGAGCAGGAAGCCAGAGACAGGCTTGCTGGCGACAGCATGCAGCAGAAGAGTGTAAACAACTCGGAGCAGATTTTCCTTATGGGATAAGAGCCTGAAAACAAAGCAGAGCAAATGTTATCTTTTCCATTATTGTAAAAATCAACTCAAGTGCCCCTTTGTATTAATGTAAAAGGTATCCATCACCTCAAGTAAAATTAGCTTGATTTACTGGTGGTGGTATTTCCTGTTGCCTGCAAATGCTGATAGCAAAGGTAGAGATCTGTTTATCATACACTTCCAATATATTTCAGAATAAAAACAATATTTTTGTGACGGTACGCTAGCTAAAATCTCCAACATTTAAGGTATATTTAAAATCAGTAGCGTGACTGGGTTGTTTGATGTTCTGATGACATGGAATGTGAGATCTCAATCTTGAAAGGAGGACTTGCTTTAGGGGAGAAGAGGAGGTTGGGTTTTGTTTTGCTTTGTTTTAAACCTGCCCTGTACTGGATGCTGCTAAATTGCACATTCCTTACTCGCTGGGAGGACTGTAAACTTCCCGTAGCAAATTCCTTCGAGGGCTCATGCATTAAACATACTCGTGCAGTTATCCTGGTTCTCATAAATATGCAACATTTACATGTGCATTAATTTAACTTGCTTTGACATTTGTGTAGAATATACAGCTGAGGAGCGTTCTCAAATGCGAGGAGGGCTGGCGGTGCGGGGGGAAGGCATGACATGGGCACGCATTCTTCCTGTAATTGCATGCAGATTTTTCTGCAAAGATTAATAAGGCTTGGGTGTTATTTTTCTTCACTGTAAGCTAGAATTAATATCTGGACTGGAAATGTGCAGGATTATGTATTCCTGACAGCTTTTGTAATGCTAAATCACTGATTTATCAGGTTAAGACTGAAATCCAGCAAGTGTAGGGTCATACCATGAAATGCTGTGTCATGGTTTTTAAGGAATTTATTTCTATTTCACTTCAGCCTCTGGTGGGGGTAGTCATTCCATTTGTAGAGACTGTCAAGACATTTTCTTTGAGAGGACCTTAGATGTGCCAGTGGATTTTAAGTATTTAGGTCTTTCATCACAATTCATATTGGCCCTGCTTTATCGTAGGAAATAGAATACGAGTGCATGTAATAGCCACAAGTATTTATATAGAGCTTGGCATGAAAAATGCAATGCCTCTTTTGTTTGTTTTATTTGATCAAATATTCCTGGGGAAATGAGTGCGTGTGTGAGTTTCTGTAGCAATCTGGGTCTCAGCTGAAAGCCAGGAACTACTGAACACTTGCAATAACTTTCTCTTTGGCTTTGGCCAGCTTCTCTGCTTAAGTTTCCTAGTTTTTAGGAGGGAGATGCTTGCTATCTTAAACTGCTCATGCCCTGATGATAAACTATTGTTTGTGAAAGTGTTGTGAAACTATGGATACGCACCAGAAAAATGTGCACAAGAGAACTTAAAAAAAAAAAAAGATGAATGTCGCTACTTAAGTAGGTTTATTATCAACTCTTACCTTAATGGAGGAGTCTTTTATACCTGTCAGTTAAATTCCCCTGAACTTCTCCAGGCACACAGCCACGATTGAAATAGCTAGTGGGGGGAGGGGGGAAATACAAAATTAATCTCCTGTGAGCACTTAGAATTGAATACATATGAATACATGGAATCAGAATTCCTGGCAGTGGATTCACTATTGTTTTCATTGACATCCTCATCCTAAGTAGCTTTAAGATGGTATTCCTGATACAGATGTTCAACATGTGTTATGTGAAATGAAGGCAGGAAAATCAAGGGCTTATTTTTATAATTTTGAGTAGCTGCACTGAAGCTGGAATAAATTCTGAGTTTCTTTTCCATGTTAAATCACTGTAATTTGGCAATGAATTATAATGAAAATATATTCTTCTTTGAGAGGAAACATGATGTTAAATCTTGTTAGTTTCTGTGAATTAACTGGGCTAATTACAGTCACGTGGTAGTAGAATAACTCATTCTTGGGGTGACCCTCTTAAAACCATAAAATAGGGTACAAAATTGTTCAAGTCCAGTATTTACGTATTTTCTGAGAAATTATCTATGATTTCTAAAAATGGGACAGGAAAAGAAATTGAAACATATGCACTTAATGCATTTCTATATCCCAACCTTGGCAGTGCATCCTGAATTCAGGGTAATTCTTTTGTATCAGGTTGGTTTTTTGGGGGGGGGGGACAAGGAAGAGGTCTAGAGAATGAGGGTGAAATCCTGATTCATTTTGTCTATTTGTTTCCTGCATATTTACTGTATTTCACAGTGTGTTTAAGCTATTTTCAGAAATAACACTCTTTTAGGGGAAACTGATTGTTTTGGATTGTGCTTGTGCATGTTCTGGTTCTTACACGCTTCACAGGAACGTGGGCTAATGTACACACATCACTTATAGTGCTGAAAACCTATGTGCACAGGGCAGTGAGGAGCAAAAAACAACTAGCAAGCTCCTTCAAGTAATTAAATTCTCATTAAAAATAAGTGCAAAAAAAAAAAAACCCTACTGACAACAAAACACTGTCCTCTTCAGTAGCATTGTACTAAAATGAGAGGCTCCACAATGAGGAGTTTATTTTATGATTAAACAGTTGCGTAAGATCTTGAATACTACATCTGTGCCCTGCTGGATCGCTTGGCCGTACGCATGGGTGCTGGGCTGTGATGATGCTTCTAGGGAGCTGACCAGAGCCCCCGATGCCCAGTTTGGGCTGGGAAATAAAGGGCTGGGGCTTGTTTTCCTGGGCTGTGACCAGCTGTGGTGCTGCTGTGGGTGCTGGGTGCAGCGGGAGCCTGTAAGGGACAGGGGCAGCAGCGCAGACACCCTGTGGGAGCAGGCACAGAAACACTAGGCACCCAGGGGTGAAATTATGGTTCTTATTACCTGCACTTCTGCATAGGGCTTCCCAGTCTCCCATTGGGAGGAAGGGAATGATGGGGAGATTGCAGGTACTGCTGCATTGGACCATGGTGAGGAGCAGGTGGGGAAGGGAA